AATAGTGGAAAAAAACGGAGTTCTGCGGAAAAAAATAAAGGGGATTTTTTTTTTTTTTTTTTTTTTTTTTTTTACTTGGGAAAACTGCTTCTCTGCTCTTAAAAAGTTAAAGCAATAGTTTGGGAAAACTCAGACTTGCCCAAACTGTACATCATGTAGGCCAAATGGCTTTGGCTCGGAGCAAATCTGAAATATTTCTATGCCAAAAGACCTCTTCACTCCCCTTTTGCAATCAGATCTTCGCGTAAAAATACTGCATTAAAACTCTGAACTTTTCAAAGGAAATCAAGTTTGTGCTTAATTTGACTGTAGAAATCAGATATTTTTGTAATCAGGACGGCTCGAGTGAAGGACATGATCAATTACGCTTGGGAGAACTTGAAGGCTTCACTGTTGAATTTGTCAGGATTCAGTGTGGATCCAATGTCAAACACCTGGATTAATTCTTTCAGTCCACGCATGTGATCAACAATGCGTGGAACCGTTCACGTGAGCTTGTCTGGGGTTTGCCCTATCTGATGCAAACACCCTCACACTGTGCAAGCAGAGTTTGCGTGAAGAAGGATGTGTTCGGACACGCAACATTGTGGACTGCAAGCAGCAGAGAGCTCTGTAACGGAGAACATAGTTGCTGCAGGCGTCGGCTACACACACACACACACGCACGCACGCACGCACACACATCTGGCTATCTTTAAAAGCTCAGAGGCCTGCTGTGTAAATTACATGGTGCAAGTGACTTGGGAGTACACCCTGGTGGGGAATTTAAAGCACCGGGACTTATTAGAGCTGTAGCCTTCACCCATGCTTCCTGTTTTAGAGGTATTTTTGTCAGGTTGTAAGAAAGGAAAGTTACAGATATTTGTGGAGTCCCAGAGGCATGTTTTTGTTGAAGGTCAGCCTGGTAAGACTATAATAGGTGTTTACCACATAATGTGTGCTTGCATTCAGAGAGAAAAGTGGCTATTGTTTGCACTGCCAGTGGTCATTTGAGTCTAAAGGCCATTTGATTACTATATAGGGGAAAACACACCTGTAATTTTGGTCAAGTGCTGCACACTGCAGCCCACCACAGGAAAAGAGAGCGGGAAAAATGAAAATAGGCTGCTCTGGTCATTGTTGTTATTTTTACACTTTTCAAATGTGAGCCCAAAAAAAAAAAGAAAAAAAGAAAAAAAAATATATAAACATGTAATACCTGATTTTTATGAAGAAAATTTGAATTCTGTGAAAAGTCTCCGGCTAAAAGACAAATGATCAGAGTTTCATACACAATTATTGACCTAGTTTACTTTATGCCACCCACATCCACTTTACACCTTAGCTACGCAGCATTGTATCTTTTTCCGTCATCTTTGAGGGAACTATTTGAATTACAAAAACAATCTATCAATTCCAGCCTTTTACAACTGAAGTGACTCAATGCACAAGCTGCTACATAAGACCTCACAATTATTTTAACTTAAATCTGAACATAAGTGACTTTTTATGTAGTTTAAAATAGAGTTTAAACTGGTTAATAAGTATTTGCTTTTAATACAACCAAAACATAAACCAGGTTTCTTGGGCAACAAACATATTGGTGCACAAGGTGCATATAATTAAATGTATACGCACACCACTAATATTCTGATGTCCTTCAGCAAATCAATACAATCAATCAAATTGGAAAACATTTGAACCAATTTGAATAATAAAGTAAACTTGACTCCTTTGTTGATAATGAGGATCAGTTGGGGATGTGCGAAACTTTGAATCTGCCTGTGTGATTTTCCAACAGAGTTAAAAATGTTAGCTTGCTTTTATTCATTCCAACTGTATGTGATCATTGTGTCTATTTCATCTATGCTGAAGGTGAAGCACTTTGGGGTTGTCCTCCTTTGGTTTTCCATCAACTTTGCGGGTACCACTGGCAGTAGATGAAAAATTCAGCATAACATTACCACCTCCGTGCTTTGCAGTTAGTCCAATATACTCTTGACTCTGTCTTACGAACATTTCTCTCGTCATCGCGGCTTGTCTGACCATAGAACCGGTCTCCGTAAGGGATTTGGCTTGTGTATGTGGTATACCTTCATGTTTGACTCATGCTTGAAGGTTTCCCATTTGGGAAAAGGGCCTTCCTTCTTGGTCAACACAGCTGCAGCTCACTTTGATGCTGAATCATTTCAATCTGGACAACGGCGATGTTGTCCCACCATCTTCCAGGTGTAGATAGGCTTGGTGGCTCCCTGGTCATTCTAAAGTATGTTGACCTATTTTGTTTTATTTGCGATGACATATTGGGTCTGATATTTGAAATTTGGACACAGTTGAGTGTTCCAGTGGGACAGCAATCCCAAACACACATCGGAACTGATTTTCTTTTTGTATAAATAAAGCTGGCTAACATCAGGCTTATGGAATTGCTTCAACTCCATCCTTGAGGGTAGCTGGGTGGGTGCTTCTCTTGCATTGAAAAATGATGCCTCGGACATCTAAAGACCGCATTTTGTTGTTCTTTTTCATTATCTTTTGAGGATGTCTAATTATTAATGCCAATTTTAAAAAAAAATTGTATTTGCATCATTTTAAAGCCCCAAATGATCAATGCCATGTGTGTAAGCCTCTGACTTGCCGTCTGCGTAATAATGCAAGGTGGCAGAATGCAGGCTGATTTTAATTAGATGCTTGGAGTGGTGTGTCACACAGGGACGCCTTTGTTGCCGCTCTGTAAGTTGTGTGCCGTCGTGCAGCCTGGCGAACAACAACATGGCTGAGAGCGTGCAGCGGCCTGCCCAAATCTCCCACACTCCACCAGGTGTTTTGTGCGAGTTGTCAGTCACAGCTGCTGGGCCCCGTCCTCCACTCACGACCAGGACGGGGCCCATCACGTGGTATTTTATGGGCGTTCAAGCATCAAGCAAGAGGCATTTTTCCATTTGATCTCTTGTTTAGGAAAGAGTGTGATTTATTTCATTTTTTTTTTCTGGCCTTTGTAGTCAGCGTAGTGTAGCCGGATTGTAGACGGTAGCAAACCTGCTGCCTTCACAGACCTTTAAATTCAGAGCTGGTGCCTGAGGATATTGTAAGAACTTGCTGTGTGTTGGGAGTAAAGTCGGGTGAGTGCGGTTCCTAGGAGGGGGCGCGGGGCGGTGGGGATGGAAAATGTGAGGAGCACCGTGGTTTGGCAGCGGCGGGCCTGATGACTGCCATGCTGATGGTCCGAGGTCTCTGCTCCTATCTGTGTGACGCTCCATGTTTACTCTCTGCTCTCCTCACCAACTGCACCAACACGATAAGGCCACTGTTACATCCTGTCTGCTTCCAGCTTATCGAAACGCTTTTACTTTTCCCACCAAGGTGCTGGGAATCACTGATGCTTTACATTTACACGCCACCCACTCTTGTTTTATCTCCTGCCCTTATTGTAATTGTACGATCCTAGTTTGGAAAATCAGTTTCTGGCATTTATCCTGGTTCTACTCTCCCTGTGCCTGTCGAAACCTCTTACCATTACTTGTTCGACTTCCTGACAAAATTGTGTCACCGTCACGCATCTTGTGGTTGGAATATGAATTCAGTATGCCAAATATAGAGTTTGATTATATACTTATAAAAATCCATTTGAGTTTCTGTTGAATTTAGATTGCAAGTTTTTTTGTTTTTACTTTGGCCTAGAGTTAAAACCGACAGAAATGTAAAAAAAAAAAGAAAAAAAAGGAGTTTAAAAGTAATTTCTGACCAAAGCCCTGTAATTTTATAAAAACAAATAATAATAATAAAAAAACAAAAACATTACAGATATTCAAATTCAGAAATATTGAATAATAGACAAATATCTCATGGCCAGAATAAAGTTTGAATGTTGTTCTAGTTCAATGTAAGCAGAAGCAAGTGGCCTTCAAATAGCACAATGCGATTGACGTTTCCGTGTCGATTTGTGTGGGAAAGAAATATATTTTAACCTCTGAATGGTATAAATATGGATGAGTTGCTGCTATGGCTTAAAAGTTACAGGCTTAAAGAGAATCTATGCTGTGGAAAGGCTTTAAAACATTCACAACATTTCTTTATGTTTGCAACCAAACATTGTTTTTTTAAAACTAGAAAGCATATTTGACCAGCATGTTTCTTCTGACCGGAGCATACCTTATGACTTTGTAGTGGTCCAACCAGAGTTCTAACTCGAGTCAGATGGAGAGTCTAGGGAGGAGTCTTAAACATATCACCAGTTTAGTATTACTGCAATATTCCTTTATGCAATACACAACTGCTTGGACTGCAATACGTATTGGCTCAGTCTTTAATTACCATGCATTCAGGTGACGCTTGGTTAGTTCAAACTCGAAAGGTTTTATAAGGTAAATAGGTGATAAAACACGACTACTGAGTTTATTTGCAACAAATCAGTAGATTGTCGGAGTGTGAGAAAGACGAGCAGAAAGAAATTAATTTGTTTTAATTGTTTTATTATACAGTAATTTGGTTATCCTGACAATCTCTCACATTGCATGTTTTCTTAAGAAGGAGGTGAGTAGTAACTTGAAGGTAATGACACCTTTCAAAATAAAATCATCAAAAGGCCAGTGGAAACATTCAAATAGCTGGTCGGCATTCAGAAGAAGAGTTTGATTGCTGTAATGCCAATAAATTATTCTCCCAGATTATTTAAAAGAGCTCAAGTAATTTTTGTGAAAGCATTTTTTTTTAGAAATTGTAAATAAAAACAGGTATTTTTAATTTATAATTCTTTGCACTGTTTTATTTTCTTTTTAGAGATGCCTTTCTCTTTTCCTATCAGAAACAATCTTCTCAGTTGTTGACAGGAAGTTTGAATCTAAATCTTGAATAACTTCGGACTTATTTACTAATAGTTTAAAAAACAAAACAAAAAAAAAAAACGCTTCCAAATTTCTTTTTTCGCAGTGTATGCTCTTATTCCATTCATGAGTTATTTGCACCTTTTGTGCTAAGGAGCAGTTTATCATGTTTGCTGTGCAAATATACGAGTCACTTACAGAGGAAAATGTTGTTTTTTCTCAGTTAATAACTCCTAACATGCTGCACAAGGCGTTTTGTTCCACATAGCCTTCCAGGAAGTA